AATAGGTTATTGCTTATGTAGATGAGGGTACATGTGTGGATGTGATGTATCTAGATTTCCAGAAAGCATTTTACTTGGTGCCATATAAAAACCTTGTAAAAAGTTATCTCTGTAGGCGAGGAGGATAAGTTGGCTCATTGGATAGAGCACTAATTAGATGGAAGAAAGCAGAAGTTTGTAATAAATGAAATTCAGTCAAACTGGATTAATATCACCTCAGGGCTCAGTGTTAGGAGCTTTGTCTTTTTTTTATTTACATCAATGATATAGGTGATGGAATGTTCAATAGATTATTTAAATCTGCTGATGGCATTAAAGTTTTGGACGTTACTAGCTGTGAAGAGGATACTACTACCTTAAAAAGGATTTGGATTATTTGATCAGTTGAGCAACTAAATGGTAGATGGCTTTTAATTATAATAAATGCAAGGTAATGTATGTGGGATATCATAATTTGAACTATAAGTATAAATTTGATGGATATAACCTTAACAGTGTTATGGAAGAAAAGAGATCTTGGAGTTCTGGTTGATCAGTCTCTTAAGCCATTCAAGCATTATGTTGTTGCTAGTGACAGGGCAAATAGGATTTTAGGTTGTATTTACAGAAATATTGAATACAAGCTTTAAAAAGGTTATAATTTCATTGAATAGGTCATTGCTTAGACCATATTTAGAGTATTGTGCTGTCTTGGGCTCCTTACCTTAGAAAGGACATTGAATTGTTGAATTCAGAGGAGGGCTACTAGGATGATACATTGGATGGCGATATTATGATGAGGATAGGTTAAAACCTCTGAATTTTTTTTCTCTTGAAAAAAGAAGAGTTAGAGAGGATATCATTGAGGTGTCTAAGATTGTTAAGAGAACCAATAGTGTTGATGCATAATCTTTTTCATATTTAATAGTGAGAATAGTAAGACTAGAAGACACAATATAATTTTTGGTGGGAAAGAAGTCATCTTAAGCTAAGACAGATTTATCCTTTTTAATAGGCATCTGGAATGTCAGGTATGGTGGATGCAGTTAATTTAAGAGAAAGCTCAAAAATATTTGAATGATAAAGGTTGATATTTTCGTTTTTTTAAGTTAAATTCAACTTAATTCTAGATGGATCAAAAGATTCCTGTTCTTCTTTAATGTTATGTGTGTAGCAAATATATTAGTCAGCCAACATGATATTCCAAAGAGAATTTTCTTATTTTAACCAAGTTCTGTTTGTTAAATAAACTTTGGTTTTCCTGATCAACGTGCCTTAATATGTAAAATATATTTTTATTTTCCAGACTTCTTCATATCATTACTAAAATTCTATCTTTAATAATCTGAAATTGTAAATTTTTGGTTGAATATCATTAGTGGTTTTTAAAATGATGTCATGAAATTTTTTGTCTTTACATCAATAATAATGATAGTAAGATTGTTTGTAATGTAATTTTTATACTGTGATGATGATTGAACAAATGCTACTGCAAAGCAATTCTTTTTTTAGTTAACAAGATCTAGTCATAACAAGTTAACACTGTGGATAAGATGCATTTAGTTTGAAAAAATAAAAAGGTAACATAACTTAGTTATGGAACCTTGAAAAATAAATAATTTTATTTCATTATAAATTTCATAATTTTGAAAAAAAAACATTATGTTTGAACAAAGAGAGAGATGTGAATGAATGACTATTTCCTCTCACCAATACCCCTTTTCCACCCATCCCCAAATAAAGAAAAATAACAGGTATAATACTAAACTCAGCTTACTAAAAATTATTGTTTGTTTTTGAACACAAAGATACAGAATGGACTATCTGCATTGTGGCCAACATGGGTATCATACCCCAGTTTTTAGCATTATAAGCCTGCAAGCTTATTGCTGAAACACCAGGAGGCTACTAAAATTCTGAGTGTAACAAATGATTATTACTATTTTGTGTAAGCCTCCCATGAGGTTCTACCTTATTCAGACAAAAGTACTCCTCTTTAAGATAGTAGCTTGTTTAATAATGTCCTAAAAATCTTAACATACCACAGGCCTTAGCATAATTCTGGATGCCAGGTTGCCTTGGCAACTAAAAAAACTCTTTGTGGCTTCTAGTATTTTCTTCCATTTTATTCATGCATGAGGCCGTGCAAAATAGAGCTTGAATCTACAAGTTCTGAACTCTTGGAAGTCCAGAATAACTTTAGTGTTATTCGAGTCCTAAATGAAACTTTGATTCTATGATTTTAACAGTGGATTCAGCACTTCATGTTTTTTCAAGAATGAAGCACTGCGTTGCACAAAACATTACTAATTTTGTGCCATTTTGTTTTTCTTCTTTCTGTCAATTCAAACAATCAGCGTATGTGTTCAGACTCAAACGGAACCAAAGGCTGTTAGTTCAGGCAATACAATCAAGTGGTTGTTGATATCATGTTGCTGTGAAAGTAAATAAATAAGTGTAGCCCCTCATTTCCTGGTGCAAACAGTAGTGAGGTTAGGTTAGGCACACCTGGCTCCTAGATCTAAAAATATTTGTCAAGGTCCAACATACCACGCGGACAAAAAAAAACCACCTACTGTCAAGAAAAGTGAAAATTTAAAACAATCCTTTACTTTTCAGAAAATCAATTTTTTTCTCATACTCTTGTAAAGCACTAGCCTTCTTTACCAACAACATATTCCATAAGTCAACCATTCTATTTCAGTATTTGAAGTGGGGGAAAAGAGAGAGCAGAATGCTTTCTGAAATTTTTGAAGCTGAGTACTGTATTTCTTGATTTTTATGTATATTCTTTATTTATCATTATAAAAGATAGCGAGATGGTTTCAGGCCCTTCTGAAAAGAAGTAGGATGGCACTCTGCCCCACTACAAGCACTGCTCTGATTGAAAAATAATTTTGACTTAACTGGAGTCTAGCTTATCTTCTCCAAACCTTAAATTTGTTCAATCTTGTCCTATTTTATTTGGAATGCATAACAAAGAAATGAGGCCTTTGTCCTATCATTTCCTTGAATAATCTTCTAAACTTCAATAAGATCATATCTTATCCGTTTTTTTTCTTAAGAGAAAATAAATTAAGATATCTTACCTTAATCTAACCCTTCCATCCCCAGAATCATCAAAGTAGTCTTCCTCTGAACCCTTTCTAATGAGCTAGTATCTTCTATTTGATAAGAACAAAACTGTACATAGTATTCAAAGTGAGGCCTAACTAGTAATTTGTAGAGAAATTATAATCACATGCGTAACAATACACCACGATGCAAAGGTCCTTTTCTTGAGTCATGGTATTAAGTGGTTTCCCACATATATTAAAACTTGTGATTCAAATCACAATACACTAAATACATATCTTGCATTTACTATAATTTACCAAATAATTGTCCAACTCACAAGTTGATCCAAGTCATTCTGTAATATCTCAACATCCTACAGCCCCTGTCAATGTTATTTTTTTAAAACTAATATCTTGTATAGCACCCTATAAATAGCTTTCCAAAAATTCAAGAGCACCAAATCTGCACACTTTCCATCATTCAAATGAGTAACATCCTTACAAAACTTTCCACTTCTCTTTAGTGGATCTGTCTTGGCTTTCTTCAATATTTCACCAAATGATTTTATAAATCCTTTATCCTCAGACTATACAATTTTTACCACTACTGTAGTAAGATTAATTGGCCTCTAACTCCCTAAGTAACTTTTATCACGTATGGTAAAGATAAGAGTAAAATAAATAAATCCTCAGCAGTGATGTAGGAAGGAGTTGCAAAATGAGGGTGCTTGGCTAGACATGCAGATAATATAATAATATAATCTACAGTTGCTATACAAGTCAAATATGTAAAAATGAGGATATGACAGCACCCCAACCCCCCAATTCTAATACCTCTATAAATGCAGAGACTCGCATATCTGACTTGGACTTTGTTTAATGACTAGGATAAAAACCAGGTCCAGCCCTGGTTCTTTATCTATTTTTGATTTCTTCATTTTAACACACCTGGAGGATTAATATCTACATAATTCTGATCGATTCAAATGTTTCCCATAGAATGTCCAGTCAGGAATATTGCTTATATCTATCTTCTCTTGTAACAACATAAGAGCATTTGTGAGCCCAACCATCTCACAATTTTCAACAAAAACCTTGTCATCATCCTCTAAAGGGTCCAATTCCAATTTTTACATTTTGCTCACCTTAAATATGCTTAAAATCTTCACTGAGATTTAACATTATCAGATAACTAGACTTCCTATGGTTCTGCAATTCAAACAACCTATCTGTCAATTTAACTTGTACCAATTATTCCCAATTTTCTCCTTTATGCTATTATCAAAATGAATAAATACATAGAAAAGCATTAAAAAAATTCAGTATATATATTTAATGCTTATTTATGTGTTTAGTAAATAATTAGGTTGATCTTTCCTGTTATCCTTTTCCTCTGTTTAAGAATGTACCTCTATTGATTTAAAAGCAATTCATTTTTAAGTTTCCCAGATCTATCCCAGTCACCTTTTAACTCAGTATCCCAATTTACTAATGATAAGTCTTGTCTCATGGCCTCAAATTTGGCTTTTTTAAAAATGAGGAACTAAAATTTAATTTCTTTATCTTAACATGTAGAAATGATCATGTTTCCCATGTTACTAATAATTAATCTTGTGTTATGGCCTCAAAATTGGCTTTCTGAAAAGTAGGAACTGAAATTTTATTTATTTATCTCGACATGTAGCATAACATCAAAGCTAATTATGCAATGATTACTTTTTTCCCAAGGTTCCCCACTTAACTCTTGTAACCAACTTGTACATTAAAATTTCGCATTGGTATCTTGAATTATTTCTATTTTGTTTCTCAAGTTACAGTGTTTAATAGTTTTTTCACTGTTTTAATCAAATATGTAGAAGAAAAAAGGGATGTTTAAGAGATTGGCTACTGGCCTTAAAAGGATACTGTCAATCTTTCACCATTTTTTCCTTAGGATCAGACTAATAAAGAACACTGTCCAGCTTATTATTTTATCTAAAATTTTTATTCAACTAAACACTGAATGCCATTTAATCTGCATTTTTAGGTGTTATATTTTTGGAAAGAATCATTTTTGGCTTAGAATCATACAGCATGTAAAATTATTTCAGGATCTTTGAACTAACACTTAATAAGAGTAACCTATGTCCAGTGTTAGAACTGGATTTATAGATTACAGCAACATATTTATCAACAACACAAAAATTCTAGCACATTACAATTTCTTTCAGGCATAGAGAAACTAGGAAAAACTGTCTAAATTTTAATGATCAGTTTAAAACATAATCTTCTGGCCACTCAAAAACTTTTGGAAAGTTCTTTATTTCTTCTTCTGTGTATTCATGTAAAGCTTTAGGTACCGGGCGAAGCTGTTTCATGTGATCAGAGATGTTCTCCATAAGTTCTTGGGGGATTTTATCATCTGGAAAAAGATGAAGTCTTTCCATCATATTGTGACGCAAAAGACTTCCTCCACATGCTTTATATACTGCCTTCCACAACACTTTTGTTTGGTCTTTATTATGAAGCTCCCAAGCAGATGTCCATGATGAGCCTCCAGCAAAACCAGTATGATGATAATACATCCGATAACGCCACTCTTTGTTTGGTAAAGCAATGTCTTTAGTATTAATCACAACAACATGGTCTCCAACATCACTAAGAGGATGGTAGATTGGTTTATGTTTTCCTGCTAAATACTTTGCAATCTTTTCTGCTGAATCGAAAGGATTTTGCCATTTAGCATCAAAAAGAAACCATAGCCGCCCAAACACTGCCCACTGCTGAACTCTTTTATACGTAGAAATAGGTCTATTCATTGTATTGTTTTATTAGAAATTGGAGGCAAATTACTCTTTTTACAAGCTTCAAATTCAGGCTAAGGAAAGTTTCTCGTCGTAAAACTAACTACACATTCATCACCCACTAGAGACTATTAGTATTAATATATATACGATATGGTAAGGCCTACCTTTAGTGCTCTATTTGGGTAATTTAGACTATAAGTATAACTTGTAATTTGTATAAACAGTATAATCAATCGGCAATGCCAGGCTAACTAGAAATAGAATACATTTATACAATTTACAAAATCTCGTACCACACAAGAATTTGATTGTTGGGAAAATCAATTTATCAAATCTACTGAAAATTAACACACACAAAATTAGGAGAAAAAATAAAATGAGAAGCCTTATACTTTACAATTTATGTGATTACTGTTTATACCTATTGAACACACATTCATAAAATATAAATTATTGAATTAGTAGTTAACACATCGCCATACACACACTTCAATGAAACTATTGTGGCATCTTGCGGTAGTTTCACTAACTACCTTAATTATATACGCTGAAATAATAATTGTTTTAAAACAAAAGCTATACGATTGTAGATGATATTCAAAACATTCTTAGGTATTGCTGAATAAATATCGATTCAGTTTGTCATCAAGATTATTACTGGCTTTAATTGATTTATTTTACTTTAGTCCACGAAATGTTGTTGTAAGCTTTATTTCAAATGTTAAAAAATAAATGTGAAGCCCAACTATCATACAATTTACTACTTGCCAGTTTCAGGGAATTCCACCCTTCGTCAGTAAACCTGCACAATGTCAAATCGAACGAATAAGCCTAAGTTTCATATAGGAGTGGAGTGTAAATTATATGTATGGTATATTAAAATATTTCTTACTTACACAGTAATGATATGTGTATAGTGCCGGTACTCACCAGTACCGAGTACTGGATCTTACTTTTTAAGGCGGTACTAGTACCGAAACTTATTTGAGATGCTTTATTGTTTTTCATGTGTACACGTAGATTTTTTATAAACAGGTTCACTTCACCCAGCTGACTACCTGTACTGATATACAGATATTTAATCATAAACATCATTGATGTATTCTTGTGAATTATTTAGCCAGACGACGTTATAATTTAGATGTTTCCTAGAAGGCGCATCATGTTTTACTAAGAACTTATGATTGAAGATAAAAAAGAATATATCATAATATGTCACCTACACCTCATCTGCTATAGATAGTACCGTTGAAACTTCATACTCAGTACCACAGTTTACCAGGCTGGCTATGAAACAACAAATATAATAGTGGTCTAGGCGCTACTTATATCATCAACTTTTATGATAAACGACTGTTATGGTGTGAACTAGATTAAGTAAGTAAATAATAATTATTATCAATATCATTAAGTCGTTTACAGTCAGATTTTCAAGGTAAATATCAATAGCACAATACTGTTTATTTACTTTATTTTTAACAAACATTTTTTTTTTCATTTATTTGTTCAAAATAGATTTACTATCATTTAAAAGAAATGGCGAAGGTAAGCTGAGCTTCTTGGCTCTGAAGCCTGTCGAGCAACTACAGCAAACAAGTCATGGAATCAGTTTCTTGTCTTGAGATTTACAATACCGGTTTTACTCAAATTTTATGGAGGTTTTATGTTCATGGCCCTAATGTTGATATCTTTATTTTTCAGATCAACGACAGTTCTTCCAACCAAACATTAATCCATCGGGACATGATGGAGTTTTTGGTTATGCTATGGCCCAGTCACTAGAAATAAATTTCTTTTATAATAATTCCTAGTGTCAGTATTTCACTTCTTGGTGGTGCAATGCCTGCTCTCCTTGTTGTCACTGAGAGTTCAACTTCTGGTGTAGTAATTGTGATGAAGCACACAGGGATTTCCTGGTCATAGAATCTGAAGCTAACCTAACCTCGCACTCGTGTCTCTGCATAAAGTCAGTTTCCAATATGTACTCTTCCTCGACGCTAATCACCAACACGTCATGAGGTATAGTAATGCTTCCTACAGTAAAGGTAACTTTCAACATTTCTTGTGCTAGAGCTTTGTGTCCAATTGATGTTTACCTCAATCCATTTTCTTTCTTTCTTTATCACTGAAAGCAATTTTCAATCTTGCATTACCAAACCGAGTCAAACAATTGTAGCTGTAGAACCAATGCCAATCAACATACTTCAAGGCTTCTCATGAATAAACCCGTGGGCTCGTGGACTGGTTTCTTAAAATGATGAACTTCTTATCTTATTTGACCCCATAAGTTCCTATTTCCCGATGTCTAGTTAGGCCTTTGTCGTTCCTTTGACCTTTTTGGGGTTCAAAGACTCATCCTTAGGATATTGTCTTCTTGGTATATTAATAAGTATTGACTTCTTACAGTCTCAGCTATAATGGTCATGTCTCCAACATTTACTGCAATTCCTTTTTTTTTAATCCTTTGGAAGGAGTTGTTATCCCTTATGTGCTTTTGTCTGTAGTTAAGAAAGAAATATCAAAGTCTACCATTCTGATTTTATCATTTTAATATATCATTGAAAGAGTAATTTTATTTTTTCTAAATGTTTGTATTTTTCATATAGAAACTGTAATGTAATCACACTTGAAACATCATTGTCTTGTGAATTTTCTCCATTCTATGTGACTAGATGTATAACTAATACTTACAGTTCTTCTAGACTATAATCAGTACTACTCCATCTAATTATCGAGTAAATTCTAGATGGTTCGTTTTGTTGTTTCTCTATTACTGTAATGGAATCAACTTCCATCCTCTATACCCTGTTTTGGAACTTTGCTCTGGATACTTCACTTTGGGATGTGTCACTCCAAATATGTTGGATAAGGCTGCTATCAATGCTTGATATTTGCCATGGTTTTAGCTGAAAGTTTACTTAATGTTGTTAGAGATGTCCCTTTTAAACGGGGAACAATAAGAAGAATTTGTTTCTCAATTCTTCAATGTTATTGAACTGGCCAGATAAATTCTGGACTTGATTTGGTAGTATCATGGCTGTATTATTCCAGGGAAGTCTTGTAGTAACAAATAGCACAGCAATGGTGATAATAGGTGTAGACCAAATACGCTTTCTTATTTCATATTTTGTAGTTAATGATGTTTTAGGTTGTAATTCTTCGTCAGTTGCACAAAGAGATGTGGCTTGTTTAATCTATTTTATTTTCATCAAAATAACCAAACTTCTTATAGCAGTGTTGTAACGTTTTCTATCGTTGGACGAACTCTTTCGGATTACTTGGTAAAATGCCAAGCCCAGTCACATAATGATAACAGATTATTAGTTTATTTCTTTTCTAATGTTTTTATAGGCTACGTCCGCTTTGGCACAAGTTATTGGCCTAAGTTAACAAATAACGTTCCAAAAGAAATTCCTTATTAAAGGTACTATTCCTAGCTTACAAATGAACTTACTTCTACAGTTCTATGGCTAATCTGTCGAGAAATTGAATGAAAGCGATAACTCTCACTACGCCCTCCAGTGGCACGACGGTATGTCTGCGGACTTACAACGCTAGAAACCGGGTTTCGATGCCATTGGTGGGCAGAGCACATATAGCCCATTGTGTAGCTTTGTACTTAATTCCAAACAAACAAACTCTCACTACTAACTCTGATTCGGTTCACTTTCGAAATAATTCACTAACTTCTGATGAGATTCACCGCCTAACTTTAATCACTACACCAAATTTCCAAATTATAATGTCATGCGTGTTCTAGCAAACAATCATCTAAATTAAATTATTTAATATATAAATTAGAACAAGACTGTTACGAACTTACCTAACGCCTAATCATGTGAACGTATTATAAAAAGTTCATCTTTGGGTATTACTTGAAATCGGGCAAAAGTTTGCGAAGCTTAATTAATGTAACAATACCAAAAGTCTAAAGTTAATATATTAACGGCTATACTGGGACTTTCGAGTAATAATTATGAGAAATGTTTATAGCCACATTCTTAATCAAAGTAAGATTGTACTCATTGTAGATTAAGTAGTTGAAAATCAATAAAAATTTAGTATAAATGAAATTACGAATGGTGGTCAATAGAATGAGATATCTACTTGCACCAGAGAGCTACTGGTTTGGACATATAGTAAGTATGCTTCTAAGGTTTGTACAGACAACGTTACCCTTTAACTAAATTTTGTGTGTGTGTGTTTCAGAGCGAGTACTTAAAGTGAGTTATTCCCTGAATTTATGAATTGGATCTGACCAAGATATACAACAGAGCAGTCATAATTTTTTTGTGTGAAGAAGGTGCAAAAGCAAAAGAGATCCATCAACATATGTTGGATGTTTATGGTGATGGTGCACCACATTACTCACAGCAGCTAAATGGCATTCCAAGTGAGTCCCTTTTATATAGAGGTTGTACAAATTGTTGACTATAACCATAAAGTATATTTAACCTTATTTAGGTCGGCATGCACATTTTAGGTGTCAAGTGCACACCTCCATATTGAACTTCAAAATTTAAGAAAAAAATAATAATAATTGCTTCTATTTCTACAATTTTTTTTTTACCCGCAAAGTATTTAAGCCTTAATGCCTTATCATTATAT